GCCACATTGTAGCCACAGCTGCCCTGGGGCTCACTGACAGAAGCGGGGCTGCCGTACACTGGCGCCACCAGGCCCCTCTGACCACCATCAGAAATAAATAAGACCCTCTCAGCTTCGCATCAACTCCTTATACGGACTTAATTTTCCTACACTGCTCTCCATCATCCATGTTTATACTCAATACCCCACCACTTCCCCAGAGAAAAATACCTTTAAAAGATACAGATGTAATTGGCTAGAAGCAAATCCCTTGCTGAGAAGTGTCAGTCAGAATGAGGAGGAGGAAAATTATAAAATTTAACAGGCTCTTGGAGAGAGTTTACAGCAACAAACAGTAAATCATTCATAGGACAGGAATCAGATGGAGAGAAACACTACAGACACAAATGAAAACAGAATCCCAAGCATCAGTCCTTCACACCACCATCTCCTCACACTTATGTTTCTTTTTCATCATTTATCTTACCAGGAAAGAATTCTTTTGAGATTTAGAATAAATTTTTTAATAATGTTCTGGGCTATGGAATAGCATGATTGTCGGGTTCATAAAACTTTTGCAAAAGAAGAACTGAAATACAGAATTTCTGGATACAATTCCTACAGGAAGGAGAGACAGTTGAACCCCAGACTCAAACAGACTGTCTCCCACTGGACCTCCTCTGCAGAGCGTTTATTAACAGAACATGACGCATGGTTACAAAGAGAGTATTGTTCTGACAGAACAATTGATCAGTTCATAAAGACAAGATGCTCCATCAGAATGACAAGGCAGGATGGTCTCCTAACTGCATCACCAGACACAGTGCATCAGGCAGGATGGTCTCCAGACAAAAAGTTGGCTCAGATGAAAAAAATTCTGAGTTGAGTTTTACATAAAAAATCTGTTAGTTATGAAGCAGATCAGTTTCCAGATTACATCTAAGAAACACTAAATAAATTTATATATTTACATGAATTACTGCATTATCTATTCCAGATCATGTCAGTTTACTGGTATACCATGTGAGTAGATTAAACAGCACCAAACTTAAGGCTGAATTATACTCAGAAACCAGAAAACAACTCGTGAAGATGGACCAGCTAGAAGAGCAAGTTGCACGAGAACGCTAGGACCATTTTTCCATCTGGATCCCGGCTCTTTTTCTCCCTCATTTCCCTCTATTGTCGCACAAACTTGCCCTTTGCATTTTTTCACTTCCTCCGTCTCTGCCGTTTCTAGACCCACAGCTAGTTGATGATTGCCCCTCTTGCGTTGAGGCATGGAATAACATAGCGAAGACCATACTTCAAAATTGGGCATAAATCAAAAATCTGGGCATCATACCTGCAAAAAGCTCACTGCGACACACTGCTGTGTGATTATAACCAGTCCTTTAGTGGGGTTTGTTTACTGCATTAATGAGGGATGGATTCAGATCACAAGTAGGGTAACCGTTTCTATAGCACCAAAAAGGAGGACATTATGCGGCATATGAATAAATTACTAAAAAGTATAGAATCTGGTATACTCTCATTTATGGTACAATTTCAAGCAGTTTAAAGATGATGGTTATGAGCTGAAAAGAAAAAAGTATTTATGAAAAGTCAAAACATAGTGGTTCACAATATTTGTATTTATTCAGTACATCATGGTGCTCTAAAAAATTGACCACTGAGATGAATCAGCAGTTATTTTGGCATCCAGGGGCAACAAAACTTGATAAGGTACCTGACGCACATTTATTACTTTGATGTTATTCGTACTTGGATGCTGTTTTTCCTTGACTGTTTACGTCCACATCACATCAACAACGTGTGCAGAAGCCATGGACTCGAGTGTCATCCACTTTTTGTTTTAAATTCATGCTCTTTTGTCCATTCTAAGTTAAATGAGGTATTGTGTGTTGACATGATGGTAACTTTCTGTCAATGTATAACCCAGCATCACCCTGATCCTTGTGTACTTTTTTTAACCAATGAGGAGC